CGATCGCATCCAGGTCGAAGACGTTTTACACCTCCATAGTCGAATACAGGCAAAGATAAATAGAAAACTAATACAGTGTATACCAGTACAAAGCGGAGTTAGACAGGGTGACCCGTTAAGCCCACTTCTCTTTTATATAATAATGGACGAAATAATACAAGCACGTACGGTCATGACTACAGAATGGGGAACAAAGAAATCCAAATATTATGTTATGCAGATGACGCTGCTTTAATCGATGAGACAGAAGACGCGCTCCAAAGATCTTCTTTTACACATATCGCAATATAACATCTAAGTAATACAATATGATAATATCAGCAAAATAAACCAAATGTATGACAACATCTAAATACCCACTACGGTGTGAAATCAAAATTGATGGGAAAATAATAAAGCAGGAAGCAAGCTTTAGATATCTGGGAATAGATATAACTAGTTACGGTAATGTTGAAGAATCAGTACGACAACAAAGCTTAACAGCAAGTAAAGCGGCGGGTTTTCTTAATGGCACAATCTAGAAGAACAAACACCCTAAGACAAGACACAAAAACAAGAATCTATAAAGCAGCAAGCAATTAGACCTATATAACATACACAGTGAAGACAAGACCTGCACATCTAAAACGAGACGACTGCTAGAAACAACAGAAATGCAAATACTCCGACGAATATCAGGGAGAAGTCTGTTGGATAGGGAGAGAAGCGCAAACATAAGAAGAGCATGTACTATAGAAGGCATAAATGGATGGGTGACAAAACGAAAACACATTCATTTTCTGCTATTTCTTTCACCTTTTGATGAACATTGAAGTAATTATATCGACTCTGGTACTTCTCTATTTCTTGATATTTTTCTGTTTATTGTTTCTCTTTGGTTTCTTTTATCTTTTTGCTGCCGATGATATCTTTTTTTTTATATTATTGGAGATTTTCTTCTGATCTGTTTTTTTTTCCATAAGTTTAAGTATTTCATCGGTCATCTATGATTTCAGTTTCTCTGTATTTATTTAAGGTGTTTATTTTTTTCACTGTTTCTAGTATGATGGTCAGACTTTCTCCTATAGTTCCTGCATGCATTTCTGCAGTTTAGCACTTTTTTATTGAGGTTTTTACTCACATTCAGTCGAATATTTTGTTCTTTTAGATTTCTAACATCATACTTGGTGTAAAGACATAATACCTTGCATAAAAATGGAGAAACTAAGATATACAAAATGTCTAGCAAGATCACAGCAGAACAATCTTCCTAGACGAAACTTTATGTCACAGATAGTGGAAAGTTGACGGAAAGTTGAGTGGAAAGATGACGATGCTAGGAAAATGGGTACAGGAAACTAGCAACGGTTGTTAACAGATAGGGATGATTGGCGAAATATATTTGTAAAGGCCTGAGGTCTACTATAGAGCTGCAGCACCAATTATGATGATTTTTATGTAAGAAAGTATATATGATCACATTGCTGTTTATATTTGTGATATTTTTGTATATATTGGAAGTATTATTATTTATAATTTACCTTTGATAAAATGAAAGGCAGATGTCGAGCACAGTTTAATTAACTAAATCTTTCAGCATCATCAGTGGCATCACAGCTCGTCATGAGCCAAAGCCTTCTTCAGAACAATCTTCCATTCGCCCCTACCTCTGGCAACTCTTTTCCATGTTTTAACTACATAAGAGTCGTAGACGACACCGCTGTTTTTGCAGACAGTCTAGAAGCATTGCAACGCTTAGTAAATATATTGCATCAACTCAGTATTAAATATGGACTACAAATCAACGTTAAGAAAATCAAGTTTATGATTATTTCTAAGCAACATACAGTAGGAAGGCTAGTTATCAAGGAAAAACAAGTAGAAAGAGTGAATAACTACAATTATCTGGGAACCTGGGTAAATAAAAACAATGACCAAGGTAGAGAAATAAGGAAATGCATTGAAATTGCAAGACAACCATTTATAAAAATAAAAACAATCGAGACCTTTCTCTGGATTTGAGGATAAGAGCCTTAAGATGCTACGTGTTCTCGACTTTTTTGTATGGAATGGAAAGCTCAAAAGTGGATAATATAAAGAACTTTTGAAAATTAAGGCAATTATCGAGCACAAGTTTAATCAAATCTTGCCCAAGTACTTTCGCTTAATATAGCAACTTCAGGGATATTTCATCAAATAAGGGCTATCCAGTAAGTGTAGAATGTGATAAACATGGATGTTAACATAAAATTGTACAAAATACTACACTAAAACAATGACAAACAGTTTAAAATTAATTAAAAAGGTTCAACGCTCTACATTCTTTGTCAGTAGCATAATTCTCTCTCCTGCTGAGTCTTTGCCGCGTTTATTGCATTCCATGTTTGTCGGTCCTGTGGCAGTAATTCCCATTGTCGAACTCCCATCTTCTCTAGATCTTCTCTGACTGCATCTTTCCACCTTTTTCTAGGCCGCCCTACAGACCTTCTTCTATCTGGCCTTTCCCAGAACACATTGTTTATAAGGCGATTGTCGTTACTACGTATCACATGTCCTGCCCATCTGAGTCTATTGGCATCTTCCGGCCTTTTCCGAAAAGAGACTCTAGCTCGTTATTGTATCTGCCACTCCATTCGTTTGTCACGCTGTCTTTGCAAGGGCCATATATCATTCGAAGAATTTTACGTTTCCATACCAGCAATTTATTTACTTTTCTTTTTGTTATTGTCCATGTTTCGCTTCCATACGCGACTGTTGGTCGTAGTATGGTCTTATATATCCGGATCTTTGCACCTCGTGAAAGAAGTTTTGACTTCATCAGATGTTGCATTGCAAAGAAAGATCTATTTTCTGCCATTATTTTCGTTTCAACTTCTCGCTCTAATTTGTTGTCATTTGTGATTGTTGTTCCTAGATATTTAAATTAACCACTTTGAAGTTGTGATCATTTATGGTAATGTTTTGCCTTATTCGCCGTCGTTCTTGTTGTGAGACGACCATGTATTTGGTTTTGTCTTCATTTATTTTTAGACCGATGTTTAATGCAGCTTCTTCAAAGCTCTAGAAGATATCCTTAATTTCTAATGTTAATTGTGCTACTGCGTTTACGTCGTCAGCAAAGGCGAGTATGATTTTTGCTCCCCGAGCAATTATGTCTGGTTTGATTTTTGGATATATTTTTCGCATGACATATTCCAAGGCCAGTGTTTTATATATGGTAATTTTAATTTGTCTACGTTGTTTTGAAGTAATCTCAAACCACAAGCCATTTGAGGTAACCTCAAGCTATAATAGCACTTATTGGCAAGCACTTATCTTCTTTTAATTTGTTCGCTGACAGTGTTGTCTTTGGTCAGCAGCGAGCTTAGGTAGACGAAGATGTAAACACCTTCCAGTTCCAGATTATCAATTAATAGTCATTATTAAATCTTCTACCGAGAAGGTGTATCTATCAATGGAGAAGTTTTGAATAACTTACGTTTTGCAGACGATACAGTAATAATTACGGATAACAACAATGATTTACAGAACCTAATGCAACGCCTTAATGAACGATGTCATGAGTACGGACTGAAGATAAATTTAAAGAAAACTAAATGCATGATCATGACTAAATCTGCACATGCAAATATCCAATTGACTATTGAAGATACTGCAATTGAGAATGTTAATAACTATAAATATTTAGGAACGTGGATAACATCAGATGTAGACCAAACTAAAGATATTAAAACACGTATTGAAATAGCACGTACATCATTTATTAAACTTAAAAAGTTTCTTTGTTGTCGGGATATAAGGTTAGAACTACGCCTGAGAATGCTTCGATGTTACGCGTTCTCTACTCTTCTTTATGGTCTGGAAGCTTGGACACTCAAACAAGTTCATCTGAATAAGCTGGCCGCCTTTGAATTTTGGTGTTACAGAAGAATCCTACAAATATCATGGATTCAAAGGATGTCAAACATGGAAGTAACTAGAAGGATAGGAAATGAGGCGGAAATAATATTAACTATTAAAAGACGAAAACTTGAGTACTTGGGACATGTGATCAGAGGGCAAAAATACGCATTATTACAACTTATTATGCAGGGCAAAATCCGAGGAAAGCGAAATGTGGGAAGACGAAGAATATCCTGACTTAAGAACTTAAGGGAATGGTTTGAATGCAGTAGTGTAGAACTTTTTAGAGCGGCAGTCAACAGAGTCCGCATAGCCATGATGATCTCCAACCTTCGATAGAAAATGGAACTTAAAGAAGAGGATTAAATCTTTAGATTTAATTAATAAAACAATGCTCGATATCTGCCTTTTATTGTATCAAAGTTCATTTATTCGAGCATTTAACCATATATCAATTTATAATTTAGACTGTTAATACATTTTATTTAGACTGTTAATAATTTATAATTGTAATTTGTTAATAATGATCTGCCTAATTTTAGTTTTATGAAGATAGCTTAACTCATATTTTTATAATTACATGTAATATAATAGTCATGTAATTAGAAATACCTGGCAATGAAATATTAAATGTTGTCAAAATTGTAAACGATGGATGTATTCATTAAATATTTTTATGGGAAATAGACTTTCTCTTGAAGTGAGTGGTGAAGTTGACGATATTTTCTACAAATAATCAAACAATGTTTTCTTTTTATGTTTATTATTGTTCAACAAGAATTTTTATCCATTAACAGCCATTGTTGTTTTTGTTTAAAAAAAAAAGAAAAGAAAATCGTACTGTTATAAGGTAATAAAAACATATAAATTATACCACTTTTTCAAGACCCCAAAATTAAACAATTTTGTATTTATTATGTCGAAAATATCTCATAATGTAAACAGTTTATCATTTAACATATTTACACAAAAGCTTCTACCACAATTGCTTTTACTTCATAGTGTGTAGATACTCTTTTTTATTTTAACAAAGGTCACGAACTGTGTTCAAAATATAGCTATCTTTTTATGTGGTAATTTATTAAACATTATTTATCAACCTCTTACACAATTTAGGGTATACGTATAAATATATATGAAACATAAATCATATGATACTATATTCTGTTAAGATTTTAAAATATTTGCCAGAAAATTAACATTTGCAAAAACATTTTCTAGACAGCAGAATTTATTGAACAAATTAAGTGATAATTATGGCTATGGTATTACCTGAATTGTACAACCAATGCAACGACTTAACAGTATCCACCACCAAGGATCACCTTTCCAAGTACAAACACCTAATTAAATGGAAAAACGAGGAATCGATCATGGAACTTGGGGTTGGTGATGGAAACTGTTCGATGTACTGTCTGCAACCCTTTTTGCCGAATCATTACAAGGAATTCGTCGCTATGGATATCTCAGAAGCTATGTTGGAGTACGCGAAAAATAATATCAACCTGCCAAACACTAGGTTTGTTCAATGTGATGTTGGAAGTAAAGATATCGACGATGAGTTTATTGAAAAGTTCGACCATATATTTAGCTTTTATTGTATACATATGATAGAAAATATAAGGTAAGTTAAAATATTTGTTTTGAATATAACTTCTGCTTTTCGCGTAGATATAACTTTGTCGATTTTTTAACGTGCCTCTTGTAAGTTGTCATTATGTTTTTATGATACTCCTACTGATTTTCATTTGCCATCTTTTCTCTTCTATTTGTTGTCATTTAGCTTATATGATCGTTTCATTCTACTCTTATATTTCTCACCCAGTCTTTGATGTTCTCTATTTATCTCGAAAGTGTTTTCATCAACAAAATTACAAAAATACATTTTCATGTCATTTTCCGTCATCTTTATTCCTATATTTGTTTTTTTTTTATTTATTTACGCTATAACCACAAGGGTTATTAGCGACCTAAAAAATATAATAAAGGTAAAGTTAGACAAAATTATAATAGTTGATACAGTCCTGAGTCTTTAAGATAACTTATTGTGTATTCAATATTCATGTTTTTTCCTAAGGTTTCCTTTATAATATTTGGGATAGTGTGCTTCTTTCTTGCTGCTTCATATGTCTTGCACTAAGTTAGTATATGCTCCACGGAGAGTGTTACTTGACAATTTTCACACATTGGCGGCACAGTTCGGTAAAGAGATGTTTATGTGTTAAATTATTGTGTCTTAGTCGCAAACGTGTTATTCTCACTTAGTCCTGTCTATTCACTATGAGTTGAAGCCACGGTTTCACTAATTGTTTGATTTCCTTAAGTTTATTTTGTGATGCACTCCCCTTATTTTGCCACGCATTTAAGACTTTATATTTTATTTCTGATTTGAAGTGATCAGATAAAACCTCATTTATAAGAATAGAGTGCTGGCTGAAGGATGCTAAGAGAGCTAGAGCATTTATAAGAAGGGAGTGCTGGCTGAAGGATGCTAAGCGAGCTAGTTCATCAGCTTACTGTGATGGAACAAATATGAAGTCAGCAGTGATCTTATTATTCTTTAGAGGAATTATTTACCGATGAGTCGGAATGAAGTTTTCACTGCAGAGAGTAAACATATGTATGATAAGTTTTCATATTAATTTCATATGGTGCTTTTGGTTTCATTCTTTTGTCCATGTAGTACGGATGTAATTCCGTTAGAAACTTTATAAGTGCATGAGAGTCTTCTTAGTACAATTTTGTTACGCTGATTATCTCATTTGATCCTTGTATATTTTCGAATAGATCCACTACTCGATCGAAGCTTAACAATTGCTTTTCCCTTTCTACATATTCTCTAATTGGTTCTAGTAATGTTTGGAGATTTGGTATTTAATCTCTTAAGTTTTTATCATCAGTTTTGGTTTTTTTCTTTAATTGAAGCTAAGGTTTTTCAAAGCTTTCTTCGGCAGGTGGCGCAATTGCATCTTCTAGGGTTCTTTTTCCGGTTGCTTTGTTCGAAGTTATCTGGGGTTTCGTGAGAATTCGTATGTGAATTTTTAATTGAAGGTAAGTGTTGACTTGTTTCGGGTAAGGTTAATTTATGTTTTGGGGTGTTAGAGGATGACTCAGACGATGTTAGTGTTGTGATTGTCGTGTTAACTGAAGAAGTGGTGAAATGTATAGATGTATTATGTAGTGAGCATTGTTGGGTTTGGTTTATTGATAAATTAGGGATTGCTAATGTTTGTAACGTGGTTTGAGAAGATGTAGTAAGTGTAAAGGGAGTGGTATTTTAGATTATAAGAGTATTTTGTAGATTATCTTGTTGAGAATGATTTATCGATGAATTTTGTCTCATTTCTATTTGCATTGCACATTGCAATGCAAACAAAACTTTGTGAAGGCATCAGAGAAAGGCAATCAGTCGAAACAGCTGATTTTATAATAAATGTTGTGAAAGTTTTGAAACCAAAGTTTTCAGTGTTTTGTTGCTACAAACTCATTTTAGTTCTTATAGAATTCTTTTCACTGTTACGTAAATGTGAAGGTACCTAATTCGTGCTCCAGTATTAATTAACTCTTAAAAATACCTTGATTAGCCGTAGACGAAAAGCAAGTGTTTATATTTTAAGTGTTTTTATTTATTAATTATCCGTTTATATCCTGTTGCGACTAACATTGTGTATTTGTCTGATTAATAAGGAAATCTATTTGTTCACCTATACATCCTGAACATTCGTATTATTTTAGTGGTTTTCTATATATCATCATCATCATCATCCAACCCGCTGCGTTTACTGCAGGACATAGGGCTCCCTTATTTTAGTCCATTGTGGTTTATCTTAAGAACTTTTTATCCAATTTCCTGACATTTTCTTGAGATCGTTAGTCCAATGGTTTGGGCGACGTGTTTGGCCCAGCTCCATTCCAGTGTGGCAATTCGGGAAATTACATCGGTAACTCCTTCGTCTTAATTTCTCATTTCTAACTCGGTCACGAAGCGATATACACAGCATTGACCTTTTTATTTTCCTCTGAGATATTTGCATCGTTTAATAAGTTGTAGCTGTCAATGTCAAAGTTTTTGTACCATAGGTTATCACAGGCAACACACATTGGTTAAAATGTTTTACGTTTTACAGAAATTGGTGTATTGCTTTTAAAGATGTCTTTGAGTTTTCCATAGGCTGCCCATGCTAGGTTTATTCTTTTTCGTAGTTCACATGTTTGATTGTCTCTTGTGATTTTATTCATGTCCAAGGTATATGTATTTTTCTATTAGCTCTAGTTCGTTTTCTCTAATATTGATATTTCCGCTAGGTACGAGGTTTGTCATGAATTTTGTTTTGGAGATGTTTATTTTAAGACCCATATTTGCACACACTAACTGAAGTTCAAGTAGCATTTATATATCTCGTTGAATAAACCTTGAACACAAAATTAATCTTGCTGTTCCATTAAGAAACACGAGGCAACTTGATGACGAATTAGAAATTTTATAAAAAATATCCAACAGTCAGCTTGGGAAAATACTCCCACAATAACTTCTAGAACAAAAGGGAACAACTATCCAAAAGAAATCAGAGAACTCATAGTAGAAAAAAGGAAGTTAAGAAAAAAATGGCAGCAATACAGAGCTCCACGAGACAAAACTAGTCTAAATAATGCTACACAAAAACTAAAAAGGGAGATACAGAATACAAAAAATTCAACAATTAATTATTTTTTAAGTAATATAACAGCTGACCAGAACACAGATTATTCTTTATGGAAGGCAACAAAAAGATTGAAGAGACCAATTATTCACTCCCCTCCTATCAAGTTGGAAAACGGCAACTGGGCTAGAAGTAACGAACAGAAAGCAGAATGATTTGCAGATCAGTTAAAAAGCACGTTCAAACCCAACGACAATGATAGTGAAGAACTGAGATGGGAAGAACCATTCCAAACTGATGAAAGAATAACATTGACATCACTTAGAGAAGTATCAACAGAGATAAAAGAGAATATAAATCCTAAGAAAGCTCCAGGATATGATCTCATTACAGGAGAATTATTAAAAAATTTACCAAGAAAAGCCATAGTTAAGCTGACACACCTAATAAATGCTGCTCTTAGATTGAGATATATTCTTAGACTTTGGAAAGTAGCCGAAGTAATTATGATCGCCAAACCAGGTAAATCTCCTAATGAAGTGACATCCTATCGACCAATATCCCTCCTTCCGGTGATGTCAAAACTATTTGAAAAACTTCTATTAAAAAGATTAAAACCAATAATAGAAAGAAAAAATCTTATACCAAATCATCAATTTGGTTTCAGAAATCAACATTCCACTAAAGATCAAGTTCACAGAATAACGAATATAATAGAAAAAACATTAGAAGAAAATAAAGTCTGCTCTACAATCTTCTTGGATGTAGCACAGGCGTTTGATAAAGTCAGGCATGACGGTTTAAACTATAAACTAAGAAGGTTCATGCCTAAACAGTGTTCAGAAATCTTGAAATCATACTTTGCGAATAGATATTTCAGAGTAAAACAAGAAGAAGTGTACACCGACTTAAGGGAGATCAAAGCTGGCGTGCCACAAGGAAGTGTCTTAGGTCCAGGTCCTGTACCTATTGTATACGTGTGACATTCCAGAGCTAGAACAAAATACTATTGCCACCTTCGCGGATGATACAGCCATACTAGCGATAAGAGACACTAGTGAAGAAGCGACTGATAAATTGCAACTATCAGTAAATAAAATACATAACTGGACCAGAAAATGGCGAATAAAATTAAATGAGACTAAATCTGCACACATTAACTTTACAAATAAAAAATAGAAAATTTCCCAGTTAGAATAAATGATACCCGAATTCCTTATGTAACATCAGCAAAATACTTGGGGAGCTTGATATTAGATATAAGAAATTGTATTGGCTGATTGGAAAAAATTCAACATTGTCAATTCATAATAAATTATCCATCTACAAGCAAGTACTGAGGCCAGTATGGGTATATGGGTGCCAACTCTGAGGCTGTACCAAAGCTAGTAATCTACTTATTATCCAGAGATTTCAAAAGTACTGAGAAACATTGTTTATGCTCCTTGGTATATCCGTAACAGCAACCTCCACCAGAACCTGGGTATGGAAACTGCGATCGAAATAATCAAGAGAACAGCAGCAAGTCACGAGCAGAGGCTGCATAGTCATGTGAATGTCGAGGCAATCCAGCTTCTTGACAACACTGAACTAAAGAGAAGACTCATAAGGACAAAACCATTTGAGCTAGTGTAAATGTGTAACAGTTTAGTGTAAAAAGCAGAGTATAGTGCTGTGAAGTTATTGCATGCTAGTTGTAGTGCATTAGTTAATAGATCAAATAAGAGTAAGCCATAGGGTAAGCCCTTAGATTTAAGTATTTTCTGTTATTATGTTAGGTCAGAAAATAACTGATAATTGGTCATTTGTGACCAGATAGCAGTATACAAACACCGCGCAGGTGTTAATAAAAAAAAAAAAATATCTCGTTGAAGTTGTCCGAGAACAAAACTTTAACGTGTACAAATTTCAAATTTGTTGATCTTTTACATGTTCAGGCCTTTCCTTTCCAGTTAGATTTTCACAAGCATATTCCAATACTGTGGTAAACAATTTAGGCGATAAAGTATCACTCTATCGGACTTTTCTGCTGTTTGGGATATGATTTGTGTTTTTATGTATTTTACCGATATAGTTGTGTTCTTGTATGTATTGTAAATTAACTTCGTATATCGTTAGTCAATGCTGTATGCTTGTAGTGATTTCAGGATTTCAAATTCTTCCATGTCAAAGGTTTTATGAAAATTTACAAAAGTCAGAACGAGTCGTCGATTATATTCGATAGTCTTTTATATTGCCGTTTTAATGCTCTGTAGGTAATCATTTGTTTCAAATCCGGTACGAAATCACCGCGAAAAGTTTTTTTTCGAGACGATTCGTTACTATTCTTGTAAGGAGTTTGTACAGGTGACTAAGAAAACTTATAGGTCTGTAGTTTTCTAATTCATGGATATTTCCTTTTTTGTACAATAAAATTACTTTAGCATTGTGCCATTTTTCTTGTTAATATTTCTAGTACTTGATCTTCTCTGCTATTTGCTTTGTGTTGGCTTATGTATAGCAAATTGTAGAAGTCTTCAACTATTTTAAGGACTTCCTCTCTGGTGGTTGTACGATGACCATTTCTATCTTTAATCTTTATTTTCTGCTTTGTCTTCGTTCTTAGGCTTTTTCTCTATACTTTTATACTTCTATTGTTTGCAATGGTATGTTTGATTTATTCTTGCTTGTATTATCACCAGTATGGTCCATCACCGTAAACAGTAAAATAGATTATTATTATTTTATGTATTAAAATGTTTTAGGCAAGCCTTTAAAAACCTCTACAAGATGTTAAAACCCGGTGGACAAATGTTTCTCACAGTTATGGAATACAGTTTGGCAGATGTGGCGTTCCACAAACTAAGCAAAATACCACGATGGGAGAAATACGGAAAGCAGACCACTGTCTCGCCATTTTACTATAGTGAGAGCCCCAAAGAAGAATATATAAAGCTGTTACAAGATGCAGGTTTTAAACATTATCTGCTTGAGACTGAGAGTATCGATTTTGAACTTGGAGGAGAAGATGTGTGGCAAAGTAAGTAAGAAAATAAGGTTGATGACACTTTTTCATCATTTTATAATTTTCTGAGTGTTATTTTTTTAGGAATATTTACCATCATTCCTTTTTAATAACATCCTAGTCATATTTATGTTTTTTTATTTGTTTTAGAACTATGTATCGCCATTAATCCACTATTACCAAAAATATCAGCTGAAGAATTGGAAGATTACAAATTAGATTATCTAAACCAATTAAGAAAAAGTAGATCCTTTTCATTTAATAATAACAATTCTCGCATAACTACCCATTTTAAAATGTTTATTATTGTAGCAAATAAAATTTAAAAATTTGAATCTATTTATTGATTAAATTTTTGTTTTGAATCTTCTTCTTCATGTGCCGTGTTCGATTATCGAGCGTTGGCTATCAAATTGGATCAGAGGATCTGTTAAACCAATATCTCAGGTTTCTAAGCCATGCCGTTCTCCTTCCACCTGGCCCTCTTCTTCCGTCTACCTTGCCTTGTATTATTAAGTGGAGTATATTATATCTCTCTGGGTGGCGCATAACATGGCCAAAATATTCAAGTTCGCGATTTTTAATTGTTTTGACGACTTTCGAAACTTTTCCCATCCAATGCAAACAACTTCGTTACGAATTCTATCCACCCAACTTATTCGTAGGATTCTCCAATACAGCCACATTGTTTTGAATACTTAATAATTTTGGAATAAAGCTTTTAATAATAGTATTTGGAACGCTGTTAAAAAATACAATATAAAAGGACGACAAAGTAGCGGGTGAGTTTATTAATTTGTTAGAGTAATATAATTTCCGAGATATATAACGAGACGAGTGGACCCTGTGAATCTCTTAAAATTACTTTTAGAATAGAATAGAATAGAAATATGCTTTATTGTGCACTGAAAATTATTGAACAATTTTATGGACAAAGCTAAAAAATAAATCAGTCAAATAGTACAAAAAGTATAAAACAAAAACAAATATAGTAAAAAACAGAATAACACAATTTTAAATTAGTAAAATTATTGTATAACCTACATAATTTGTACAGACAACAACAAATGAGACAAATTGTAGCCACTGCTTGAGACACCCAAATGTAATTATAAACAATACTAATTTTGTTTCTTTGTTATACATTAAGAAACTCGTCAACTGAATAATATGGTCTTTCTGAGAGATAGATTTTTGTCACCTTACGAAACTTAATGAAGGATGTTGCGGATTTAATTTCTCTTGGAAGGTGATTATAAAGTTTCTTTGCACGATATAGAATAGAATTCTTTACTAGCTGAGTGGACGGGATCGGCAAATAAACGTTACAATCCGAATTTCTAATGGAGTAGCCATGGTCAGGTCTATCGCGAAAAATGTTTAGATGCTTTCGAATCAAACAAACCGTTTCCAAAATAAATAAAGAGGGAAGCGTTAAAATTCCGTGATTTTTGAAGTAGGTCTTGCAATGAGTTTTTTGTTTGAGACCAAATAGATAACGGATTGCTCTTTTTTGCAACTTAAAAATAGTATCAAATTGGGCCGCTGTACTAGAACCCCAAAATGGAAGCCCATATCGAAGATGGGACTCGAACAATGAGAAATATGCCATTTTGGCAGAAGATAAATTTAGTTCCTTCGAAACAGATCTTATTGCAAACAAGCTGAGGCTAGTTTCTTCCTTAAGGAGTCAGTATGCAAGGACCATTTGAGATCACAGTCAATGAGAATACTTAGAAATTTCACGGAATTTACGATATTGATTTGGCTCCATTCAAAAGCAAGGGTTGCATGACTCCTTTATAAGATAGTGCTACAGTCTTATCCACGTTAAAGCTAAGTAATTTGGAGTCTGACCAAGCCTTGATTATAAGTAAATCAGCAGTTATAATTGAATGAAGCGTTGAAATATCAGAGCTGCTCCAAGTAATACTGGTATCATCAGCAAATAGAAAAATTTTCCCTTTAATTTTCAAGTAAATGATGTCATTAATGAAAAGTAAAAAAATAATGGGACCTAATACTGAACCTTGCGGTACTCCACACACAATATCTTTACAACTAGAGTTGGTGTCATTTATTCTAACCAATTGTTTCCTACCTACCAAGTAAGTTTTGAACCAGTTCAAAGACACACCCCAAATCCCATAGAAAGTTAATTTTTTTAATAGAATGTCGTGATTTACGCAGTCAAAGGCTTTGGAATAGTCGCAGAAAACGGTGGCGGAGGAGAGGTTACTGTTTAGTGATAGATATACATCATGTAACACAGAAAATATGGCATCACTAGTGCATTTATTAGACAAAAAGCCGAACTGATTTTGCGATAAAATATTATATTTAAGGATAAAGGGCATAAGTCGAACTTTTATTAGTCTTTCAATAATTTTTGATAGTGCTGGTAACAAGGCAATAGGTCTATAGTTGCAGGCATCAGATTTTTCTCCACCTTTATGAAGAGGAATGACGATGGCAGTCTTTAGGCAGTTGGGGAATGTACCTTTTTCAAGGGAATCATTTTCTGCAGCCGTTTTGTATGTTAAAAAGAATATATGGATAAACTGTACTTATGAAATTTTATTAAACACTTTAAAGTTACTGTCGTGAATCCAACATTAGGAAAATCTACTTTAGATTTAGACTTTTTATCTACTTTAGATAAAAAAGAGAATATTAGAACTTCTTAGAACTGTAGCATTTGTAAACTCTTTGATATATAAATTCCTTGGTATATATTGGAATCCCCTCGTATATGTATTAAGTTGAAATCCCTTCATATATGAATTTTAATAACGAAGAATGTTTTTCATGTTTCTCAGTTCCTATCTTTCAAGTTAAAACCCAAATAGTATTCCGTTCTATTTACGTCGCCATCGAATCGATAATACAGCATTTTATTGTTTGTTTATATCACAGGTGCAAATTCTTCGGTATTTTGCTTTGATCGGTAAGCCGCCCGATACTGCGTTTTCAATAATAAATATTTCCGTTAAAGTTTTTTATTTATTCCAACTTATGTGAATGAATTTTAAACATCATTGCTTACTCTCGCGGAAGACATATCAGCGTTGACATCCGCTTCTAGCGTTTGTCTAAATTATTCATCAAATTTGAAATTTTTTTTGTGTTTCAACTCTTTTTATGGAAATCTAGTGTGTAGTAGCAGTTATTTGTG